TGAATCCAATTTGTCAGTATCCCTCTACACAATCCAGCCTTTTCAGTTGCCCAAATTTCTAAGGGAACGACACCTGGGCTAACTCTGAGATTTATACTTTTCCAATAGGCCAATATGACTTGGAAGGATTATGGACCTGAAGTGAAACTTCAAATTACTTCAATCAAATGTCAAATGACCCCAATCACAGTCTTTGGGATGAAGATACTCTTCTGGGGAAAGGGTCAGAGATGATCCCTGATTTGATTTAGAACCCAAATCCCACTGCAAATTGCTATAATCAGAGGCTCAAAGCATGAGATTGGAATTCTAGGGTTTATGATGAAGGTTGAAAAAGGAACAACACAGAAACTATTTTTGGGGTTTTGATACCGAAAGGGACAACCAAGAAACATGATATGGAAGCCAATGAAAGAGATGATGGTATGTACAATGAAAGAGAAGAAAAACAATTGAAGTTAGAAGACTAACAGAGACTGGGAACACCCAGCAGCGACTCCCATTCAGGAAGCAGACACCCTCATTTTTTCGGAGAGAGCGAGAGCCCTAGCACTTTGAACTTACAGGCTTGTTCACCTAATTAAATATGGAATTTAAGTCCTAAATTTGGTGGTTCTAACTATTTGACTTATGGCAATAATCATTCCCATAAAAATGTGTTGTTTTACCATTTGGGATTTGTGATTAGGGGTGTTCATGGTTGGTTTGGTTCGATGTTTGATCATTTTCCCTACCAAACCAATCTAATCTTTCTTAATATATTACTGTATAAAAATTGTTAAATTCTTCAATAAATCTCAAATAAACACAATGAGTCTTTTAAAATTTTTAGTAAATACCATATAAATAGTAATGGACCTTTTAAAATTTTCAATAAATATCAAATAAATGCCCAATGGGTCTTTAAAAATCCAAACTCAATAACATTTTCAATAGTAATCTTTACATAAGCGTCTTCACTATTATATTTTCAATAATAATAATCTTTCCTTTTAATACAATTCTACTTCAATTTGACTTTAACTACTTTAATTATATCTTTTTATCTTACCATATTATAAAAATTATTAAAATCCTCAATCAATCTTGAATAAATATCCAATGTCATGTTAAAACCCCTCTAAAATCTCAAATAAATACACAATTTGCCTTTTAAAATCTTCAATAAATAATTATAAATATAATTCTAATTTTAATTATCAAGACATCAAGTTGACTCAACAAATTGATTTGGCAAAAAAATTTTAAGAAAAAGAAAAAAAAGAAAAAAAAGAAAAAAACACACACACACATACACACACAAAAATAACTTCTGTTTCTATACTTCAACAATTGATTGGGCAACTTCAATTCCAAATTAATTCTACAACTTGCTCAAGTCCAATATACTATATTATAAAAATTATTAAAATCTTCAATAAAAACCAAATAAATACCAAATGAGTCTTCTAAAATCTTTCTAAAATCTCAAATAAATGCTAAATGGAACTCTTAAAGAACTTCATTGAGAAACTTGAAACCTGATTAAATTACATTAATGCCCTTTCAAATTTCATGACAAGCACGATACATATAACTCCTTATTAGATTAATTCTCCACATAATAATACTTAACAATACTCTAATTATATCAAACTTCTTACTAACTTTTATTAAATTCCACTTCAATTACCATAAAATAATACGACTTTTACATGTAAATATTTTCAAAGTTGAAAACAACTTATGTAAATATATAATCCGACTTCTATTTCAATTATATAAAGTGTTTAGCATAGATACAAATTATATTATATTCAAAGTGGCACTTCGCAAATTGATCCTTATTTACTCAATTATTCTTGGACTAAGGGAGTAATGACTAAGAGGTGAATAATTCTAGATAAATGTATTTCTTAATAATGATTACTAAAATTTTAAAGTTGATTACTAAAATATCAAAAACATTAAATAGCAACAAATTGTAGTACGTATAACCAATGTGTATCAACTATCACTTGATAATGACTACTATCAACCTATAAGACCAATTTGAAAAGTAGAGAATGAGTTCTAAATCAACCACCTAAGCATAAACAGGAAGTAAGAACACATACAAGGAACCTAAAAATAAAAAGGAACCTTTGTGAGAAACCTAAAAATGTTTTTAACATTCTCTTTATCAAAAGTCTAAACTATATATCAAAAAATTATGAAAATGGTAAAATAAAAGCCCTTACATGCTTTGAATATATTCATTAAGAAAAAGGGAGAAAGAGAGAGAGAGAGAAATTACAATAAAAATGATACAAAATAATAAATAAAGATGCAAGAAGTGACTAGGAAAGAATAATATTGAGAGAATAAGGATAAGAAGAGAAAAAATAATAACAAACAAATTATT